TACTTTAGTTAGTTAGATTGTTTGTTTTTACAAATCCCTGACCATTCCTCCATCTAAATTAGGAGAATAAGCTCAGGTTGGGACAAAAAACAGGGGAGAAAAACACGCATCATTTGCAAATTTATAAAATGGTAATAAAAATAATTTGTCCTCCTGCTCATCTCTGGGCGTTCTCCAGAGTCCCTGACATGATCTGTTCTTTACTCTCCAAAGCCTCCCAGACAGACGCGTAGTTAATCCTCCCCTCTGTAGCTCCTCCTCCTGGGTCTCTATTAGACCCTGAAATCCATCAAGACTTAAAGAAACCAAGTAAGTCATGAGAGCAGAAGATGTCCTCCAAATGCATTCAGTGTCAGAAGCTACAGTAAAACCCTCCAACAGAGGTTTACTCACTGAAGAGTCGAGCTGTTCTGCTTCTTGTGCATTTTAATAAAACAGTAAAATATTCTGTTGAGTATTTGGAGGCAAAAACTTTGTTAAATAATCTACAGAATTCAGATTTATTCATTGTACTTTTAAAAAAAAACTAAATCATGACATTACTTTATACTGATTATACCCATCATTTCTTTGAAATGTGATTATGGCATAAAAGCACAGGGGTGCCACCGGGCGGCGGGGTCGATGACCACCTGTAAAATTTGGTGGCCCCATCATTGCCCCCACTTGGACTGACAGTTTGAGTCTTGAGACTCTTGAGTCCTGAGTTTTTGCTGCCTCGGGAGATTTGTGCATCCAGATATGAAAAACAGAGAATAGCTGTTCAAAAACTTGTTTCTTTACAGATCTACCCGGACGAGGGACACTTCCTACACAGCGAGGGCACGCGGCAGCACCTGAGTCAGTCCCTTGTCAACTTCTTCGAGGAGTGTTTCCGGGAGCCGGAGGTGCTGGTCGACAGTGACAAGCAGGAAGAGAACGAGGAGGACAGTTAAATCCTGAAGCTGTGAGCTGCCCCAGCCCAGCTATTGTACCACAGCACAACATGCAACAAGTCCTTTCTAATCCCTAAATCCCCCCCAATCTGATTTCATCCTGCATGTGCGAACAGGGCATCCGCCTGCATCCCCTCATGCTGCTGGTTGTCAAGGAAACCAGCCAGAGGCTGAATAAAACTCAGACGTGAACTCGATAAATATTTGGACTAGAGCGCCCTCTGGTGGACAAATAGAGGATCAACATGAGCGCTCAGCAGGTGCTTCACACGGTTCCCTGCACAGAAGCTCATTGGGTTGAGATTGAATTATTTAAATGCTGCCAGTTTCTGATAACCTTGCCAACGAACGTGCTGATCATTGTGTTCATAATTCTTGCGACTTGTTTCTCAGATTCTCTGTTCAGTGTCTTAAAGTTGTGTGAGAGAGAGGACGTGTGGCTGCATCAGTCTTTTAGAAATCAAAGGCACAGCGCTTGTGTTACACACGGAAAAATATATATATTGAACAGATTTTATTTGTTTCCCACTCTTCTGGGATGAACTCGTTTTAGTCACTGTGCCTTACTGTGGGTGAGATGTTCCCGTTAGGAGCTCACACGACGCCGAGCCTGAAGGTTTGACTCATTTCACAATAAATTAGAAAGAGTTTAACATCAAATAAGCAAATATCAGCTGGAAAGATGATCTTCAACCGACCCATAATTATTAAGTTAGTTGTTACTCAATGTGTTTGTCCACACTTGGTGAGTTATACACAGAATTGTTATTTCTTGGGGTAATTTTTTTGTTTGTTTTGATTGTTGAGTCTTTACTCCTTGTGTCACTTCTGTTCATATTGTCGGTGGTTTCTAGTGAGCTGTTGTACAAAATGTATAAAACTGACTTCGTTAAGTCTTTATGTTGGATGTGCAACTTGTACATAAAGCATTTTGAAATGTACATTTCTCAGTTTTACTTGTGTCCCCGCTGTAAACTAATGAACAACTATTTGCACAAACAACTTCTTATCTTTTTTTAAATTACTCAGCAAATGCTTTTTGGAGAGTTTAATGGGTTTAATTGTCCCAGCAAGCAAAGAAGGCGAGACAACAAAACATCTTCATACCTAAAGCTGCTCATTTATAATTCAATATCACCATCGTTAAAAAAAAAGCATCATTGCTACGACAGTTTTGTCACGCAAACATATAATTCTTTCGTCTTTTCAAAACTGAAGTGAAGTCATTGCTTCAGCTGAAATCATGAAAGTAATTCAACATACTATGCCGACCAGCAATCCGGCGGCGTTATTCCCATGACCCGCCTGGCAGCACCCGGAAAACCAAAGTGTTTGGGTTCCGAGGGGAGTATGGTTGCAAAGCTGAAACTTAAAGGAATTGATGGAAGGGCACCACCAGAAGTGGAGCGTTCCATCAATGATGGCAAGCCGTCCTGACCCAGATGCAGCAAAACATGCCCAAACCATGATACTACCACCACCATGTTTCACATATGGGAGAAGGTCCTTATGCAGGAATGCATTGCTGTCCTTTCTCCAAACAGAACACTTTTCATTTAAACCAAAAAGTTTTATTTTGGTTTCATCTGTCCGCAAAACATTCTTCCAACAGTCTTCTGGCGTGTCCACGTGATCTTTAACAAACTGCAGATGAGCAGTAATGTTCTTTTTGGAGAGCAGTGGCTTCTCCTTCAACCCTGCCATGAACCATTGTTGTTCAGAGTTCTCCTGATGGTGGACTCCTGAACATTAACATCAGTCAATGTGAGAGAGACCTTCAGTTGTTAGAAGTTACCCTGGAGTCCTTTATGACTTCACTGACTATTCCACTCCTTGCTCTTGGAGTGATCTTTGTTGGTCCACCTCTCCTGAGGAGGGTAACCTCCATTTGTTCACAATCTGTCAGACTGTGGATTGGTGGAGTCCAAACTCTTTACAGATGTTTTTTAACCTTTTCCAGCCTGATGAGCATCAACAGCTCTTTTTCTGAGCTCCTCAGAAATCTCCTTTGTTCGTGCCATGATCCACTTCCATAAACATGTTGTGAAGATCAGACTTTGATAGATCCTGTTCTTTAAATCAAACAGGGTGTCCACTCACACCTGATCATCATCCCATTGGTTGAAAACACCTGACTCTTTACTTCACCTTCAAATTAACTGATAATCCTAGAGGTTCACATAATTTTACCACTCACAAATATGTAATACTGGATCATTTTCAATAAATAAATGACCAAGTATAATATTTTTGTCTCATTTGTTTAACTGGGTTCTCTTTATCTACTTTTTGGACTTGTGTGAAGATCTGATGTTTTAGGTCATATTAATGCAGAAATATAGAAAATTCTAAAGGCTACAAACACTTTAAAGCACCACTGTATCTGCTTGTTTTCGTCTGCAATCGTTCCAAACAATTTTTTTTAAAGCGTGCTGTTGTGATCAGGAACAAGAACTGGATCATAAATGAGAGAAAAATGTGGCCCAAGTCCAAATAAAAATATTTTAAAGAGCTTCAAAAAGCCTCAAGAACTATTGACTAAGATCACTTGCAAAGCCTGGTTAAGACATGGAGGAACAGAGGGTGATACGAGTGCTACAGCACCCCCCTGTGGAAGACAAAAAAAGGTATACATGTCAATTAAAAAGCTTGTTCACTCGCATTATGCAAGTTTATAATACAGTTCAATTCAATGATAATGACTCAATATTGAGCGACGTTAATTTCCTGTTTGGTCAAGCTCGTCTCATCCAAATAATTCAACCTCTAACCTTGTTTCTATTTGCTTTGCTAAACATGACAAAAAAAGAAAACACCACATGATCATCTTGCCATCAATAAAATTTATTTCCAGTGTTTCAGGAGTCTGTGCACACCCTTCACAATCAGAGGAACACTGCGTGGATACAAACTGTTGGGCTCATTGAAGCGTTCCCCTCCTACATCAAACCACAGAGAAGTACCAAACTGCCAGCAACACGCCATCAGGCCTCACGGGCAGCATCGTCGTTCCACAATACTGTCCTAAACCCTGCCAACTGATGGAAACGCAAAGAAAAAGCAGCTAAAACATCGCATTCATATGTACAATTAAATTACTTTACAACGACTGTTTAAAATTCAAGTTCTGGTAAATGAAAAAAAAAAAAAAAAAAAAACGGTTCAAGATGTAGAAAGCATTAAGACCGGAGTGGAATGCCTAAAGAACGGAAGCTCGGCATTATTGTTACGATTAGAACGACTCAGTGAGCGAGAAAAAAACCCGTCATTCACAGTAACATCTTTGTCTCAACAAAGACCGTATGGCACCCTTTACGTTCCGTCGTGAGGCACTTTCTTTTGCGAAGAAACATTTTCTTCTGTCAATTTTTCTTTTCAGTCCAACGCCCGTCGCTTACAGAGGCGTGAACCACCAACGCCAACGTTCACTGCTTTTAAACATGTAACACGAACCGCGTCTCCATTTGCATAAGTCCAGTGTCTCCTCGCATCTTTTATACCTTTGGAAAGGCCTCGCTCAGGCAGTCGCACGCAGACTGTACCAAAAAAAACCCAATTCAAGTACACAGAAAAATAAGGGTATGTACACTTTCAAATGAAACACAAGCATGTAAAGCTTTTAGTCAGTATTACAGCAAGCATGTCTGTACATTCTTCATTTGGTTACAAACACAAAAATAGTTCCTCTGCAACACTAAAATCTCACTCTCACTACTTCCTATTACTCCAAGTCAGGCCAGGTTCCTTAAAGCCCACAAGCTCCAGAACCATCTATGGTGTTCCCACGTCCTCCATGGAACTTCAGTGTTTCTTCAACGGGTCGTTTTCAGCACAACCGAGGTTTGTAATCAGGACTCCCTCCTGATCAGTTATTTGTAATAAAAATTAAAAAAGGATAAAAACATTTTGTTTCATGCCTCATACACGAGCAAGATCGACGATCTTTGTGTGCAGCAACGCTCTTTTTTTACACTCACACCAGTTAGACACATGTAAACATGCTCGTTCACTAACGTCACACGACAGATTATAGTGACAGAGAACATACAGTACCGTTTCTCACACACGCGCGCACACATACACACACACGCGCACCCCTCACAGGTACTGATAGAAGCGTGAATGGACCACCTGGGAACTGGTGAGTTTATGTGGGTGAGCAGCGGCTGAAAGGCTCAGATTTTTACTCTGGGAGACTTCCTCGTTTAGCGCCTCAGCGGGACGACATGTGAGGTGGGAGGAAGACGAGGCCTCGGAGTTTTGGGAGTCTGTGTTGCTCGGCGCCCCCTGCTGTTCGGAGAGGTCCAGGCTAACCTCAGGGTTGCTGGTGCGGTGGCGTTCGCGAGCAATCCAGTCCCCGATGGAGAAATCCTGAGAGCTACACTTTGGTTTCAGCCGGTCTACAGCTGACAGTTCTGACCGTGAGCCTGAGTTGATGCCGACCGGCTGCGACCAGTCTCCCAAAATGGACAGCTCTGCGAAGTCTCTCTGCCCGCCCATCGTGTGCCGGCGCCTGATGTTCTTCTTCTTACTACGGCCCTCTGGCGACCGACTCCTCTGGCTGCCCACGCCAAACATGTCGTCCGCAGACGTTCGCAGACGTACCTTCAGTCGATCCGTGATCTTCAGCCTCCACGCAGGCTCCGTTTTATCCAGCTCAGTCCGAGACGACGAGCTGAGGCTTCCAGAGGAGCGACCTTTTGCTGAACCTACACCTTGTGACAACCTGTTGGAATCTTTATCCACACAAGAACCATCCAGTGAGGTCTCACTGTTGGTTTTAAGCTGGCCAGACTTCTTTCTGGAAAGCGTATCGCACTCGATGAGTCTGTGCGAGGGCAGGGGTCGAGGAGCTTCCTGAGGTTCTCTTGGCTCAGCTTTCCCCACAGTAAACACCGACAGGTCGCTCTCACTGTCCGTCATCGTCGGCTTTCCTTCGCTGATGAGCTCACTCCTCTCGTCGTCTGCATCGTCTCCGCCGCGGCTCTCGGACACAGACTGCACTTCAGGGCTGAGGGCGCTGAGCTCAGCTCCAGTAAGGAAAGTCATGGAGGACGTGGTGGAGTAGTCCGAGGTGATGGAGCAAACCTCTGCTCCCAGCCCGCTGGGACACGCCTCTATGCCCGGAGCCGCCGACCTGCCGGGCCTCCCTCTGGGCACCGACGCCTGAGAACTGGTGCTGTTCATCGTACCAAGGTCAGAAACCGTATCGTCGTAGTTGGAGGGAGGATCTGACAGTGAAAACTGGTGAGACACGGGCATGCGGTAGCTGAGGTTTGGAGAATGGTGTGGAGATGTGTAGGGGGAAGCGGTTTGATGGGTAGAGATGTGCACTGGAGGCAAAGAGGGAGAGGGCTGAGACTCTGTCCTGTTGGATTTCTCCGGCTGCTCGTCTGAGCTCTTCCTGTGCGTCTCTGTTTCACTTGCTCCATCTGTCTGGTCCTCGTCCTCGGTCCGGCTGTCCTGGGACCACGGAGACTGCTGCTGGTCCTCCTCTGGGAGCTCCTTTTTGATAAAAACTTGGTCCAAGTCGTCATCTGAACTGTTGAGGTGAACTTTAGGCTTAGGCTTCAGTTTCGGTTTCTTGCGGTTGCGGTTGACGAAGAAGGAAGAGCGCAGCATTTCTTTGCTACACTGATCCTTCCCGGACCCCCACAAGACCTGGCAACACAAAACCAAAACTGTGTTAGATGTTTCCAAACACACCACCACACAAAACATGCAACAAGAATTATATTTGCAAGTAAAAGATTATGTTAAAAAAAACATTACCTTTGAGTTGTTGGGGTCACTAGATGCTGAGTCTGTGTTTCAAAAGAAAGTAGACGTGAGTAAACGTTCGACAGTAACTGATTAAGAGGCAGACTTAACAGTGACAGTACGACGAATATGAGAGCAAAGAGACAAAAGCTGATGACATGTTTCTGACTGAAGACAGAGACGGTAGAAAGCTAATCACGCTAAGCAGAAGTGAAGAAGGCACCTAAGATGAAGGATGAAAAGAGAGAAGGTGAAACCCCAGCAGTAAACCAAGACACAAAAAGCAGCTCATGCTCATGTTTCAATGGACGACGGTACATCAAGGACAAGACGGCAGTCACAGAGCATCACAAGTAGCCAGCCAGCTGTAGGCATTCTTTCCCAACTTAAAGACGCCACAGGAGACGGAGTGATGAGTTTGCTCTGACTGACAGATTTAAGGGGCCTAAGTGTCACAGATCAGTGAGGGTGTGTTGCTGTCGATGCAGCTGAGCTCTTCCAAACGAGCTTTAGTGTAACAAAAAGATAACGCTCACTCCAAAATAGATTTAACTCTTGCCTTTAACATAAACAAGAAAACAAGAGCCAAACATAAGAGCTCAACTAAACTCTCTAGATCCACTTCAAACTGTGAAAATATCTAAACTGTGGCAAACAAACAAAGACTAGCTCACTACTTTTAGAAAAGGCAAAGAGACAAAGAACTCTGCTTTCATTTCAAAATGGCAACCAACAGAGAAAACTGTAGACATTAGTTTTGTTTCTTAGTGTGAACAAACTATATACCAGGGCCCTGAAAGAGCTGAAATCTATAAGAAGCCCCAAAATGGCAACAAAAAATATTTTGTTGTTGTTGCATTTATTTTATTTTTTGGCTCTAAAACTGATTAAAAAAATTACAAGTTAAACTAGGGATGCACAATATTATCGGCATGGTATCTGTATCGGACGATATTAGCGATAAAGTTAAATATCGGACATTCCATCAAAATAACTCATCGATATATAGTTTATTTTCATTCAACCTTTATTTAGATAGGTAAATCCCATTGAGCCTCGAGGACGTAAATGTCATGAATAAATTTGAGATTAAACATAATCCAAAAAGTGTTACATAATTTTCAGCCCCTTTTTGGCATCTGCATTTGGTAGCAGGCCAAATTGACAAAGAGCATGCAGAATAATGTAGTATTTTAATTCCACAACAGAGAAAGCTCTGTAGTCTCTGTAAGTAGGTCTAGGGAAAAAAATAATTGGTATTGGTATTGGTTACCGGCCAACTAAGTTTTAACATATTGGCATATCGGATATCGACCAAAAATCCAATATTGTGCATCCCTAGTAATAACGATGTTTGCTAAAGGTGAAAACCCACGTTCAACATTGTTACTAGTTCAAATCAGCATCATGTTAGAATAAGAGTGAAGCTGTAGCAGCATATGAGCTTTAAGGTGGATCTGTGAAATTCAAATCTGCCTTAAACAATCCTTCAGGAATCATCTGTTCTCGCTGAACTCCAGGCAGAACCTGAAACGACTGACAAGCCCTGAAAAGTTCCTGTTCTAGTTTGTTTTTGTTCGTTCTGATGTGTTTGTGGAAAGAGAAGCGTTACAAAAGGATCCGGTGAGCGACCGACGTTGATGTCAAAAGTAATCTAAGAGGGAGATGAATATATATGTTTTTGTTTATCTGTAGTTGATGATGTGACATTTTAAAACGTGAAGAATAGAGTCAAAAATATCAAAATAATCACACCACAAAAAAAAAAAAAAAAAAAAAAAAAAAGGACATCAAAGGCGACACTCGAAACCTGAAACTGAAATGAAGGAACAATAATCTACATGTAGCAACATATTTGCCTCCATGCTTAAAGCCGTGTTGAGTGTTGCTTACGTCGGCTCACCTCTGCTTTTGTAACTCACTAAACTCTTACTGGACTGGAATTTGGCTGCATGAGTGGACTGTTTGTGTGTCAACGTGTGTGTGCTGAAGAACATCCAGTTCAGTGCGAACACTGCGACCCCACCCTCAGACATCATGACAGATTATGCCACATGACCGGAGAAGAACCTGAGGTTGACCGTACCATGCTACTTGTCCTTGCGATCAGCTTAAAAGACAACAAGAGACAGCAGAAGGGCTTTCAGAGAAAAGTGCAGCAGCATGGCTCTGTATCCCCTCAGTTTAGGGTATTGGTTTAAATATGACATGTGCACAGCACAGGAACAATGACAAACATCGACTTCTCTTTCTTTCTGTATCTTTTTTCCTCCTTTTCGGCCAAATTTAAAAGAGCTGCGGGTTTCTGCAGACTAGGCAGCTACACTGGGCACAACACTCGTCCTTCTTCCTACAGTCCCAGCTGTCCATCACTGACAAAACAGAGTCCATCAGTGACATCATCGAGTAATAGACGCCGCCCACTTGGCCTGTGTCAAGAGTGGGTAACGTGTGAGTGCTGGACAGGGAATAAGGGAGGAGAAAACAACACACTACACACAGCAGGTCAGAAGAGTTAAAACTTCCATCGTTTCGTTTTGTTTTTCTAAGGCTTTCTTTGGGAAAGAACATGCCGGGATTATGTGAGAAATGAGGAGGAGGGGAAGAAAAAGAACTGAAAGAAAAGGAGTTGTCATCTCAACATAGATAAACCACAGGGAGAAAAGAAAAGAAAATGACACCGGAGCAAGAGAAATAAAGAGAAACGCATAAAAAAAAAAAGAACGGGAATAACAAAAAACAAAACTAACAAATATTGATGACGAAACAAAACACTTACCAAATAATAAATAAATAAATAAATTTGAAAAAGGTTTGACCTACTGCAAATTAATTTTCAACTTTTTTCCAGTGATTAACCCACACTGTTGTGGAGACTGAAAAATGTCCGCGGTAACAGAATTACAAAAACAAATCTGGCGTTCTTCTTCACTGAAAGCTTAAGTAACAAAGATGGAGAATGATTCCTAATATTTTAGCATTAGCTGAAGCTATCATTTTATGCATTATTAAAACTTAATCATAAATCTATTTAATGTATGAATGTATTTATTACAGTACTGCAGCAGCGGTAAGATGTCAGTGGTGAGGATATTTGAATTCTGAAAGAAAAAAGCAAAACAAAAACGGCTTTTGAAGTTACCTGAGACTTCACCTGGTGACTGTGCGGTTCGTCCAATGTTGGTGAGCAGGTGGTCGATGTTTGGCACAGGCTGAGACTGAACTGTGCTCTCCTGCTCGGCTGCGGTCTGGGCCGACAGGAGAGGGAATAAAAAAAATTAAAAAAAAAGAAAAAATAAGTTAATAAAAGCAGAAACACAAACAAGAAAGGTGTGCGCTTTATTTTATTTAACAAAGCAGGGCATTAGTTTAAATGTGGGCTTTGTCTGAGCTTTTCAGAATAAAAGTTGTTAAATGGAACGTTCATAGCAATAAGGAAGAGAGCCACCTGCATCATGAAAGACCCCTCTCACCCAGCACACACTTTTTGCCCTGCTCGCTTCAGGCAGAAGACTGATGAACATTAAGTGTAGAACTGAGGAACAGCTTCTACCCTGAGGCTGTTAGACTCATGAATCCCTAATCAGGATTATTACTGTGAAAAATCACTAATGCCACTTGATTGTTGATATGTGCTGCTGACTATCTGTGATGCTGATCTCATGCTGCTGATTTATTTCATGTTGCTGTGTTCATTTGTCCTCATCTGCTCACACAGACTCGTGTTCGTGCTGCTGTTGTTGTTTGGCGCATTGTTGTGTACTATTACTGCTTAGCATATTCTTAGTTGAGCATATTTCTTAGTTCATGTCTTGGATCTTATCACTGTTTTTCTTTACAATTTATATTTTTGTTGGATGTAACATATGTGTACATAGTTTCGTTCCACCTCATGTACCACATGTGATGTGAATGACAGTAAAGAACCTTGAATCCTTGAATAATGAAGCAACTTTATAATGTTTATATAATTTAACCTGAGGAATTATGAAACCAAACCATCACTTACAACAGGATCCTCACTGCCGTCTTCAGAAAAGAACCAGTCAAACTGCTGGATGAGGTTCTCGACTATCTTGCACTGGTCCGGCATGTGATTGACCATGTTGGTCATGTTGTCCTCAGAGGTTCTGACCAGCGTGGGACCAAACACAATCGCCAGGTTACGAGGCTCCATCTAAAGAGATTAGACATACCTAGAGTCAGATTAAAGGACTAAATGTTTTATTAAGACTGTTTTAACACCAACATACCTTGTTCTTTTCACAGTTCTCAGAAACTCTCTTCAGGTGAGCACAAAGAAATTTGAGCGTTTCGATGTGATGAACAGGTAGTTCATAGATCTGCAAAAATTGACAAAAAATAAAACCCCTCAGGATGGAGATTCTTACTTCGAGAGTCATTTAAATGTTCCTCCTGACAGACTTTACTCACCAGCCTCTTGAGCTCCTTTAATCTCTCCACTGAATCTTCGGTCCTGCTGGCTTCAATAAAGTCAGCGTACTTTTCTGTAAACCAAGAAAGAAAACGATGACTTCAAAATGCAGAGAAACAGTTTTGATATTGCTCCAACACGACTTGGAATTTCCTAATTGTGATTTTTAGTATGTAGCCTTACCATTTGTAAATAGAGGTTCTGGAAGTTTCCGGAAAAACGACTTTAGTAAACTACTGATGACGTTGAGGTCCCGCCATTTCTGCGGAGTTGTAGAAGATCAAGTCAGCGTCACATTAAACTGTGCTCACAGGAGAAGTCAATGACTGCTGCAGGATGCTCTGGAAGAAGTAGCAGCTAAACCCGGACTGTCTGTCACTCACGTCTTCCTGGATGTCGATGTCAGTCATGCCTTTGCTGTTGAGTTCCTCCTGCATGCTGGAGATGGCAGCATTGTTTCCAGGAACCCTGTAGATTCCAGTATACTCCAGACCTCGCTCCTCCACAAGCTTACAGCACACCTCCACTATGAGAGGAACCAACTGCAGCAGGAAGACAGCAGATACAACAAATCAGCATAAAATATTGTCAGTGGACATTGATGCAGTGGGAATAAATTGGTGAATCGTAAACAATATTCACCGTTTGAGATCAAATAGTTCTATTTTAACATCATCGTGCAGAGTAGACCCACCGTGTTAGTTTGAGCAGGTGGACAGTCTTCAAGCCGAACTCCAAATGTGATGCCAGCCGGAGTCTTCTTTTCAAAAGGCTTTCTCATGATCCCTGCAATGCCGATTTTCCAAGACCTGTCCCTGTCCCGAGGAGGACTGGACTCGTCTGAGGAGACCCACACACATATAAACGAGCCATCTGAGGTTACACACCTACTAACCAAACCAAACCAGTCTTACCTTTCAACGCCCGCCGCTCCTCTCCTGTTTTGGGCGAATGGGGGCTGTAGATCTTGCTGTCCGACTTCCCTCCCAGAATTGCTTGTTTGATGCTGAGTGGCTGCCGAGATATTTTGGGGGAGGGTTCTGATCTGCTGGTGGGAGCGCTGAGGAAAAGAAAAGATTCAAACCATTCGTTTTAGTTTGGGGAGAAATTTTAACAGTTTACTTAAGAGTGAAACCCACCCCCCCCCCCCCCCCCCCCCCCGGAGACGATGTGGGATCCTGCACACCTCATCATGTTGTACTCTTTGATTTTTCTGCTGATCAGGTCCTGGCTTGTTACAGCAGCATTCTGCAATGACACATGAAATACAAGTTAGGACGAATGCTGAGATTAAAAATGAAGTTCTTCTGAATTAAAAAAGGATCGGTTCAGGCGGGATTAAAAACAATAAGTTGAACAGGAAGAAGCCACCTGCCCAACAAACGTTTTGTTGCATTTCATAGGAAAAATAAAATAAAATAAAAACTTTAAATGACAATAAAAGGTTAAATTCTACCACTAAAAATGAAAACATTTTTCTCTCAATAGTTCCCGCTATAATAAAAAATATTACCCCCAAATATTAAATTAAACTTTGTTAAAAAAGAGAGTCATTATAACCTTAAGGGAATGGAAATGTTTGTAAAACCTCCATTTAGAACTAGTCTGAAGGAGCTGTGTTGTAATTCAGGGAAAAGGATTGTGGAATTGCTTTGATATCGCCATAAAAATTTCTAAAACAATTTATATGTTTAAAAAGATGATTACTTTAAAATTGTTAGGAAAGTATGATACCATGTGAAGGACGCCTGATGTTTTTGTTTTAACTTTGGAGATGTTAAAGCCAGAGTTGTTTGTTTAAAGTTATGTTATATTTTTTTAAAGAAGGGGCAGATATTATATAAGATTTTTTTCTTCTTTCTGCACCCTTTTCATTCAATGTTTTTTTTTTCTTTTTGATGCATTTGTTTTGTTTATTTTAAATGAATGAATAAATGAAATAAATAAATAAATAAATAAATGTTTTTTTAAACATCCCTCAGTCTGTAGTGAAAATCTCCTTTCACACCCCGAGTGTTGCTCTGCTCAGGTAGAACAGGTTTCAGCTGATTTCTTACTTTAGCCATTGTTATCTACTTTATGAATGCAGTCAATAATCCTTTCTATGTCAGTAAAACAGTCATTGTGAGACGTTCAAAGACTGTAGTTCATTCGTTACCATTCCACTGGGTGTGACTGTGAGCTCTTTCAAAGTTGTATTGTGGGATGGTATTAACTTGCTTGTTGTTCTTGTACTATTAAACCTGAAGTACTACGCTCTGCATTGATGGTATTACAGGAAGAGATGATGCCAGCACACACCTCTTCATCTGGGTTACTGTTTTCCTGAATGACTTTGATCCACGAAAGCATGTCGTCCCTCCCTTCAGCCTGGAACAGATACTCGCAGTCCGAGGTGGTTAGCCGCAGCACGTTCTTGCGCCTCGTTTCGCTGTAGGAGATGTCTATCAGACAGGCCCTGATGCTAATTTGAAGCAGCTCCTCGTCAGATTGTGCTGAAGCATGAGCCAGTGCGTCCTTCTTGTCTTTGTAGAGGGTCAGGGTGTGACCTTGTAAGACGGCGTACATTTGCTTCCAGGATCTCATGCCTCCACCAACACGCTACAAAATTTGAGAAGGAAGAAATGCTCACATTTCACTTTATAATAAATATGACTGAGAAATGAAAGCTTTAGCTATAAAGAAATACCTTGTTTTTATCAGTAGAAAATTGTCTGAAATTAAGCAGGCCTTCTTTGGAAGAGTCAGAAAAGACATCAGAAGAGGGGTCCCCTCGAGACCCAGAATCCCCTGATGATTTATGCCCATCCAGAGCCTGGAAGGATGAATAAGACTTTTTTTTTTCTGGTGTTATAAGATGACTGTAGAGCGTGACATAAAGCATGGGGGAGTGTGTGAGGAGAGGATGACATGCAACAAAGATCTGTAGATGGAAACAGACTGGGGATGTCACAGTTACATGGTCACGACATCCCAAATCTGAAAAATACACTTCCCACATGAATGAAATAAAAAGAGTGCACCAAAGACTGCGTGTCAAAAACATATGAGGAAAAATAGGATTACATTTGCTCAAAAAACTCGCAGCTTATAGAAAGTTGATTTTATCATTTAATATTAATTTACATGTAGAAGTGAAACCCAGACTGTAGAGTTGTAATGTGATAAATGGCTCAGCCGTGTTTAATTTTTAATTCATATTGACAATGTACTAAACAAGGCTTTAAATTAGACACGACTACAATAGTCTGACACTATCTGAATCAGTGCCAGAGTGCATTACTCTTTTACAGTCCAGCCTCAGCTCTGCTTTTAATAATGTGACCAGAAACCAACTGTGATCTGAGCGTGTCTTCAGAAAAGCGATCAGCGTTGCTGATCAATGCATCAATGTGTTGAACCAACATGTTTCCAGAACAGCTTAGCAAGTGTAATCAAAGGTTTTCTGTTAGCCTCGAACATCAGCCACTCAAGTGTGGACTACTTATTCAAGACTTATTTATTTAAATTTAGAGTTCAGCTACATGTCAATATTTCAGCTCAAACCCCCCCCCACAAAAAAAAAAACTAAAATCAATACTTGGTCTGTTACTTGAGCTCTACAGCTCTAACACCTGCAGTTCTCAAGGTCTGACAAAAATACAAGCAGCCAAGAAAACGAGTGTTTGCATATAAAAATAACTGTTTATAAAAACTGAAACAAAAGGAAAAGAGGAAAAAAGATGTTGTCAACTCTGATTGATAATAACAGCGTTCTACTGTATTAATATTAATATTTTAATTATAAATAGTCATAGAAAGTGTCGATGTGAGATGTGTTGTAATGGTGTCTGAAAAAACATAAATAATTCAGTCCTAATTTGACTGTCCAGTAAATGTCTGGTGTTTATCACAATGTAAAAAATAAATAAATTAGGTTTTGGGGCTGTCGCTGTGAATAAATTGCTGTAATCGCTGTATATAAATTACTAATAATTAAAAAAAAACATTAGTCAAGCAAGTCTGCATATTTTTCATTTACAAAAGGAAACATTTTCTATTAGACTGAATGCACATTTCAAGGGACAACTACTAATCTTGTTGCCTACTTATGACTAATGTAATAATGAACATAAAATATGTACGTATACACATATATACTGGTATATATACACATACTGTACACTACACACACACACACACACACAATTTATATATATATTTATATATACATACACACACACACATGCACACGTACGTATGTATGTATTTATTTTTTTAACACCTTTTCACATTTGGTATCATTACAGCTTTTATTTGCAAGTGACTTTCTGGATTCTCACTTTTCAATTAAAATGGGGCCATATTAAAAAAAACAAAAGACTACTAAAATATGATTAAATATCATCAAAGATTTCTGCAAAAATGTCAAACAAACATGACTGACTTCATGCTTTCTCACCTTTTTTAGGCCCCTGAAACTGGGAAGATGCTTACTCGAAGACATTCTAAAAAAAAGAATCAGAAGGGCAATGTCAGACAGATTGAACACACACAAACAATAAACATTAATAATAATAAAAAGTTTGGATGCACTCACTTTCTTGCCTCTTGCTGATAGTCATCCAAGCCCTCATCGTAAGACTTGGACCGCTCTGTTTTACAGGTTGAGTCTGAGTCCAGCAAAGCACTTCGCAGAGACTCTATAGATTCATGTAAAAAATATGAAATTATACTCTTTATAAAGTCCTAATGTTGATTAAGCTATAAGATCATGGAAAATCTATAATAAAAAAGCATTATCTAGATCATTTCTATGAGAAATACTTCTCAATGATATCTGTACCAACCAACCAAGGCAGTTTACCTTGATCATGTGACAGCTGACGACGAATGGGAGGACACGGGGAGCCTTGACTGGAGGGGGCAGTAGCTATGGATGGTGCAACAGATATCACAGCAGAGGGAGGAATAGGAGCAGCCTCTCGGTCCACACTTGGGCTGACTGGCTCATCTATGAATACAAGATGATATTTAATTTGAGCAGAGATACAACTCCCCATGTTTCTGTTCTCCATTGTCTTTTCATATACTGTCTGAGTGCAGAAAAATAGAACAATGGTTCTTGGATTCAACTGTTCTGAATTAGCCATTACCTATGAGAAATTTAGACAAAATGATCAGCTTAACTGTGAGACAATAATGCATTTTTTAAAGGAAGAAAGTTTATCTCTCACCCACTCTGGGCATTGTAAGCCTGAAATGGCTCAGAGTACAAAGCTGCTCTCTGCAGCCATGGGGCTTTTGGAGCTAAATTTAAAAGCCAGTGCCCTAGTTCCAGCCTGTACCCAACTTTGAAACTGAGCAAAAACAAGATACCTCCATCTTTCTAAAAAGGCCTCCCTGGTTATTTTTACAAGTTATAACTGTCATTGATCAGTGCTTTGAGGGAACCTCTTTAGGTTTTACAATATTCTAAGAGAAAATGAGACACAAGTCTGCAACTTAAAAGATCCATTATTACAGGGTATCCTCTTCAGAGGAGAAAAATGTAAGCATCTGAGTTTTTCTAAACATTTTGCTAAGTGCCGGACAGTATAGATTCACTGTGTGTGTTATGAACTGCCTGGCTGTCAACTCACTTTAAAAGTCAGTGGTGAAATAAAAGGTTGTATGTAATCATTTTCAAAATGCATAAAAGAAAGGCGAAGGGGTTCAGGCCCAAACTTGCATACAGGAACATGACAGTGTTTCCCCTACCATTATATAAGCGAGGCGCCCCGCCCCGTCAACAGAACGGGATGGGTAACACAGACGCGACTCTGTTTCACCCCCACCCCCTGCTGTCGATAAAAACCGACAACAACGTAGTGCTAAGCTAGCAGGCGGGCAACACAGACGTGACTCCGCCCCTCTCCATTTTTGTCGACAAAAATAAAATACGACGAGCATCATGCCAAGGGAACTGATCTAGAGGAAACACTGCAAGAGATATTCAGTCTCTTACTGTTACATTTGTTGTTTTAGATAAATAAATCGTGACAACATCTAAATATGCTATGTGTCTTGGTGAGGTTAAAGATTGTAACTGTCCAATTTGAACAAGATGGATTTTTAAAGTTCAAAACCTCAGATTTGAAATCAAGGCTATTTTTAAGACAACATACAAATACAGTGTATGAATATTTAGAATCCCTGCAAATCATAGTAAAAGTTTAGGCCATCTTCATTTGAATTATAAAATACAACCATCCGCTAATTAAAATAATTTAAGATGCCCTGCAAGACCGAATACCAATCTTTTACACTTCAAGCCTAAAGTACTGTTTTTTTTTTAACAGACCTCTGATTCAGATGCTGAGGTTTACTGAATCAAGACACTGTTCTCGTGAACCAAGGCACAAATCCCAGAACGGATGGACTGCGACATCATCAGTCACTGCTTTGTCTGAACTTGGACTCTCAGGCCATCTTAGAAACAAAAGTATACCGACCACCACAAGTACGGCAGAGCAAACCTGTGAAAGGCTACTTTTGAGATCTGAAATTTAAAGACTTTTTTTTTTTTTTTTTTTTTTAAGACTTTTTAAATTAGGTCAACTGTGGTTACTACATGGTGCACCTTCCAAAAGTCCCAAGGCTCTTTCACAAAACAGTTCAGTGAAATGGCTGCACAGACCAGTCCATTTTTAAGTTTCTTCTGGCCATTCATGAATCACCGATGAAGCCGCCACTTCCCAAACAGATGTAAGCCTTCAGAAATGAAGCGGGCAGAACTGAACCAAAAGAGATGTTGAGCAGAACTCAGCTTGGTTGTTGTGGAGCAAACACATCAATTACAAAACATGATGACATAACTCACTTTAGCAATCCTCTGTGTGGTTAACTATGTTTTTAAACTAACTATAAAACTGCTGTAATATCTGTTGTTTGATCGTGCAAGAAGCCAGTCGTACACTAATGTCATCAGCTCATCACATTACTGAACCATGGCTTAATTTTTCACGTCGGCTGTTCTGGCACTGTTAACAACTTGTTCGACAGCACAGAGGAGAACAAGAGGGGCCACCTCAGTCTATTCACAAGACACATTGAGGCGACCATAACACATTTCACTTCTGGACCGAAGCGTCTTGTGAAAAGGCCTCTAGATATGAATTTGCAACCCAATTCCCCCTCAAAGATGAAACTAAAACCTCTCTGTAACATCACTGCCTATGACCTAGTTCCTCCTCAGGATCTACCTGCAAAACATTATGTATTCCTTTTGATTCCTACTCACCTGAAAAAACAGCAATCTACCTTCCTAAATGAAACAAACATGTTGATCTAAAAGCAATTTAATCTTTGGATTGTTTTGCATGTCAGATACAGACTAATGCACCCATAAAGATGAAGCAAAACTAAACTTGAGTACTAAACTATTTTCTCTCACTGGACTGCTCTTTACCAGTTTACCATTATCTATTATTGTGTGGCACCTTAAAAATGATAAAAGCAAACAGTTGGATAGGCAGACACTCAAACATACATAATACATGTAGGGCAAAAAGAAACAGAGGGGAAAAATAAGCAGCATGATGTGCAGAAATATCCAAACATTTGGTAGCACTTCAGACACTAAACTCCCAATTATTATTATTTTTTTAATATATCTAACATGTTCTTCATTTGCATATTCTCTAAACAATGACATATTCATACAACCATTAAAATACACAATTTGTAACATTTTTATTGCATTGAACTGATTAAAACAGACAATGTAAAAAAAAAAAATCTGTCAAATTTTTACGTGCTAGAAAAGTGCAAGAAAACTATGAATTAGAAGAGAAATTCAATGAAGTCTAAGCCTACTATTACTCTCCACTTATTAGATCTCAAACTATGAAGGAATCAAAACCTGATCAATAGCAGATTCCCACAGAAATAGTTTACCTGAGACTATCTTCCCATGATTGTACTTACAATAACCCATAACATTTGATCAACAGTGAAATTACAATTGCGACTGCAGTCAGTTTTTAATCTATTCATTTCAAACCAGTTTTTGTTGGTCTAATGACTGATGCTTCTATTTTGTTCAAACAAGATACAGTATTAGAACGGCCACTTTGAACCATGTTCAAAGTGACCTGCAAAGATGTAACTGCTACTGTTGTCATGACAACATAAACCAGCAAGGATTACAACTGTTGATTCTCTTACCGATGAATGGAATGGAGTCCAGAGATTCGTCCAAGTTACTAGAGCACGAAGTGTGTCGTTCCTCAATTCGACGCATGTGTATCTCTCTGCGTGCATCATTTGGAAGCCAGCACGCCGCCACATCTGCTGTAGAGCCTGCCCCGTCATCGTTTACAGCTAGAATGTATGAGTGTTGTCGTAAGGGGCTGGGGCTTTTCCCAGCATGCGACTTCTCCCTCAGAACCACCACACTATCTGTGGGACATTGACCATTCACTTGACTTGGATAGTCTTGCTGGGGTGTTTTGAGGATGCCAGGCCTCTGAGGCATTTCTTTTGGAGTAGAGCAAGACAAAGACCTGAGTCCTACCAATGCTGAGTTTCTGCCTGCATCAGTAGGCTGTATGGTTTCTGCCCGCATCTTGCTCTGCCCTTGTTGGTTAGAGATGCCCGATTGGTTTCCTTTGACTGAAACTCTTTGGTTAGTAAAAGAATGTTCAGCACTTGTGCTCTTTCCAAAAACTAGGGGCCTGTGAAAGACCTTAGGTGAGGAATGGGTCTGAAGTGACTCTGCTCCTTTAGAGTAGAAGGATGGGTTTGATGCCCCACTCATGCTAGCACTGTATCCAACAGAAGGCCTAAATGGTATAGCATTTCTGGGAATGGACTGCTTGCTTGGTCTCGTACCTTGGTCTGACATTGGATACATTCCTCTCTTTTTACTAGGCTGAGCAAGCTCTAGAGCATCAGCATAGTCCATGGAACGTGCTCGAGCTTTTAGAACAAGGCCATCCTGGGACACGCTTCGAGGAGGCCAGTTCCTTGCATGGTTCATTTTCTCTGCACTTCCCATACGATCCTGTGAGGCACTGCGTGGGGCAATATGAAGTTGGGGTGGAGGTCCGTAGTATGATCGTTCATGGGAAGTACTCCTGCGTCGTATTCCTTTAGGTGCCCAATCCTCCCGAGGAATGTGATGAGTATTGGCAAATGAGGCCTGACTAGCAGTTCGTAAATTGTCCAGTCTCTCCTGGATGGTCCGACTTCCATGAGAATGAATACCTTTGTTGTCAATATACTCCTTGTATGTTTGGTACGTACGCCAATCAATGCTTTGATGATTGCCTGGATAATTAGGTGCATGACTCCCAAATGAAACCATTCCTGGACCACTGGGATAGACATCAGACTTCCGAGGGTGAGGATATTGGGCCAGTGATCCAGGTCTTCCCCTAACAAAAGCAGGGTCCATAAAATCCATCCTTCGTACTGGAGCCATGTGTCCCATATGTGCTGTATTAGGGGGAACCACCACAGTCCTAATGCTGTCATTGCGCATGCACACTACCGTTTGGCTTTTAGGATATAGTTGAAGAGGAGGAGATGGGGTCATAGTAATCTCTTTACGATACCCATGGTCAAGAGGCACTGTTGGCCCTCGGCAAACCTGCCCTGCTGAGTCTGTTGCCTGGGCCATGCCCGCAGGCTTACAGTCTACTCTGGGGTAGCATACTGGGGGTGGATTTGGGATGTGACAGGCATTTCCACTGTAGCTGCTGTGGCCACGGAGGTAGGCATCTTGGGAGTAGGCCTGGAGACAGAGCGAAAAGGCAATGTTACAACAGACTAATACAAACGACAAGCATGTGTAATATTTAACAGTGCAGCACTAGAAGCTTACAGAGAAGTCAAGTGTGATATTGCAAATATTACAGATGCATGTGTGTAGGCAGCGCATGTTGCAGTATGAGTGAGCGGAGGCGTTTCAAACAGTTGAGGGGTGTCAGTGTTCTTCATCTGCTCTTTATTTAGACCTTGTGGTAATAGTTGTGGATAGTGTACACATAAAACTAAACAGTGTTTTTAGAAACAGGGGTTGCTTTAAACACAATTTTCATAATGTAATATTCTTCCTCTAACATACTTGCATGCCATTTTAAAATAAAAGCGCATTTCTACACAATTTTTAGTATAAAAAAAAAATTAATCTACGGAACACTGAAAATAACTAAACATAGAGATAATTGTGAAACGGTGTCTAACTACAGTGAGTTCTGAATATTTAGCTTGAACTGAAACAGCTCCTGATTAGATTTTACCACAAAATACACAAAGACATACACAGGCATATATGAACAAAAAGCTATAAAATAAAAATGACCAATCCAAATTTACCCACCTCTGAAAGATGGCAACCTCTTAAAGACAACAGGCTGCTATCTCCTATAGTGAAAGTGTTACATTTACCAGTCACCCATGCCATTATCCAATGGTACAAAGACTAAACTATTTCATAGTTGATACAAAAATAAAGCTTTACTTGTAACAAGGTTGAAAGTAAAGGTTTTTCAGGTGCAACGTGCGTTTGAAATGCTAACAAATGTTATCTACCCGACTTAAAATGTGTTGTGCATACAACAAGCAAGAGAAAAGTGAAGGTATGAGGACTTTGACCCTAACAACCAGATGTTAGATTACAATCTTACATAAAGTATGTGTCTCTCAGCAATTAGTGTCAGACTCAGTTACTCCCTTTGTAACCATGACTGTACGCTAGAGTTCAGAGGTCAGTGGCCTTTATCACACTAATAATATCTGACATGGTATGAAGAAGGGGCGAGGTCCCACTGAGATTTCAGCTGGATGCTAACTCGAATCCTAAATCTAACAGGTACTGCAGACACAGTGCATCAGCCATTTCTGCAGTCTAAACATATGAATCATGAGCTAATATGTGACCATTAAACACACATCCGAGTCAACTATATGGCAGTAATGTTAAACCTAAAAGCAACGTAACGGTGATGACATGCATGACACATGAGAAATAACACAGCTGATACATGTCAACATCAAGCTGTTACTCAGTGTGCCGTTTTCTTACCAGATTAGTTGTTTCCCCAGAGAAAGGCTGCCATTACAGCATGTGAAAACAAGTGCATTAAGAAATCACGGGAGAGAGGTTGGAAGAGAAAAAGATGAAAGCAGAGCAAATTGCACATTTTGTAGAAAACAGAACCGATCCCAGAAACAGAAAAGATGAATCAGCCATAGCAATCCTAGGGATTGTCATGCTAAAAATACACCAGAGTTGCAGTGGCGGTACACAAGGATGAGAAAGCAAAGAGGTAGCAGGGGTTGCCACGCTACAACCTGCCTGTGACACTCTGTCCTGGGTGAGCTGACAGGAGCAGAAGCTTGCTTCTCATTTTGCTATTAGGTCTTCATGACTCCATCCATCTCCAAACAGAATATTACGCTAACTGAACAAGGTGTCTCCAGTCTCTCTCTCTCTCTCTCTCTTTCCCTCCCTGCTACTGCTCACATGACAGAAGCAGCAGCTGCTGATTATACATTCAGCTGTGATGGTACAGCTCCCTCTCCCACTCCTCCCTCCTTTTCTCTAAGCGTCAACCTGTTCAAAACCCAGAGCAGTCAGCTGACTTTATCCACTGGTTTAAGCTCATCATTCATGCTGTTCCGTCGTTTTTCCCCCGCTCACTGTTTCCTCTGCTTTTATGCCGTAACGTTCCCTCCCTTTTCTGCTCCTTAAATTTTCAACGTCTCCTTCTGTTTGCTAAGCAACCGCTGCCCGTCTCCAAGCATTCAGTGCATGCTGCCTCCTACAGTGTCATGTCTCCCTGCTAGCATCTCTGATAATCCTGATTTTGACAGAGAGGTCTTACTTTGCGTGCCTACTTCACAGATATTTTTGTGCTGCAGCTGCTTTGCATTACAACGCTGTAGCAAGAGAAAACTATTTATAACTAGAGAAACAAAACAAGCAAGAGGGACGACTTACAGTGGAAAACATGGAGTAGAAGTGGTTATCACAGATGAGACATTTAACTTGTGATAAAAGAGGGGAACAAAGAGCGTTAGCTGGATGGGACAATATTTTTTAATGACATTTCAAGTTTTATTTAGGCAACTCAAAATGAAACACAACTAAAGCCTTTTTATAATTTGACATTTTGGACAAATAACTTGCAAACTTGGAAACGTGTAACTGTCTACAATATAGATATTGATATTGCAAGTGTCAAATAAAATGCCAGCTGAATAAAACATTCAGTTAATGGATGTGACTCAACATGACCCTAAATAATCCTCAGGGATAAATTTGTTGCAAATGCCATTTCATTATATTGTATAGTTGAGAAACACATTGTTGAATAATAAAAAGCTGATAGGAAAGGATTCCTGTGCATCCTGCCAAAGCATCTAATGTTTATACTCAAGACAAAAAACAGATAAGTGCAACTTAGCTTTGGTGTGCATGTGCAAAATCAATAATAGCTACCCACAGCATGCAATAAAGTTTTGATGATAAGATCGAGTCTGTATAGGTATGAGGGTTAACCTCTGCACTGAATACATTTAGGGTCATACAATTCTCCAAGTAACAATTTGTGATGGACTCATTTCTAAAGAAACTCAACCAAAACTAAAACATACAAAACAAGAAACTTTACTCTGAAACGTATCTGCTAAAAATAGTTGGGAGTTTATGAACGGTTTTATGGTATCTGATCAAGTTTAAATGAAATGTACATTATTAATATAGTAGCTAAACTGTAGATTTGTAATCACTCTCACTGTATAAAGGTTGAAATATGTTCAAATCAATTATTCATTTCATCTACCTAATGCTAACTGAATAAAGGATTAACAGAAGACTTGAAAGACTCAATGTCTCGTTTGTCGTTTTGACCCTGAACAGTTATCAAACAAACTGAAAGAGCTGCAAGTACAACGTAACCTATGATGTAACCTCGCCTATGCATGATTTCTCTTTTTCACACTCAGTTTGGTGAAACACATATTACTGTAGTTTCACAAAATCTGGATGAATTACAAACTCTTACAATGCAGCATAAATGTGAAACTAGTCAATCTGAAGGAAAAAGTAAAATTAAACACTATCAGATTTTATTTTAAGAAGGCACACCACAATACAAAAACACAAATATTATTCAATAACTCAACTTTAGTAACCAATACATTCCCCAAAATAAATACTCAAGTATTTGTTTCCAACATGCAAAGCCAAGGTGTTGCCATTTCCCAGCTGTTGTAAAGTCTAATTGAATGATCTTCATAAAACATATTTCTTCTCAACTAGGGAGTACAAAAGCTTGGATTAATGCTGATAATATGTGATCTGTGATGCTCATTTGAATGCATCAGAAGCAAATCAGTTCAATTTTGTTAGTCCATAAAATTAATTACAACTTTACAAACTCTGCATCATTTAAAAAAAAAACTTACAACTGCAAGTTGCATATTTTGCCCCACATTAAACTCTCTTCTAAAGATATTTGAGGAATGCTTGCTCAAGCAGTACATTTAGGCCATTTCAACAACAACAAAAAAAAAAAAAAAACTGCTTTGGCCTGATTAAAAGGCCCAGATAGAGCACGGATGGGATAGGCCGGCTGCCTGGATCTTGTGACTGCTGTCCCATCATAAACACCTTAAACTAGAGCAGTTTGATGACTGAACATAAGTTATTGTACAAGAGAAGTTTTTCCACACGCTTCAGAATGTGTGCATAAAAAGCCATGAAGATAACATTACTGCAAACTAAAACTCACCAGCTGAAGTATGTCCTCATCTTTTGGCATCACACAAAGTTCAAGAAAGTCACCACTGCAGAAAACAAATTAAAAAAATAAAACTTGAAATTGTGTACGGTAAATGAGGCTGAATCAACCATTGAAATACTGTCAGCCTTACCTGTCTTGGATCAAAGATATCACATCAGAATAAGCATTCCCGATGATGCTCGCTCCATTGACTTTAACTATTCGATCCCCTAACAAACAAAACAAAAACACCCTGCCAAATCTATTGAAGGTTTATTGAAAATACAGTCAGAAACTACAAGGTTTATTTTACATCTACTTTTAAATTATAGAAGTAGCACAATCAAGACACAACTGTAAACATCTTTCAATGTTTTCCTTATGCTTGAAAGTTTTCGAAGTTAAACCATTAAACTTCCAAACCATTTTTTTTTTTTTTTTTTAAAGACTTACAGGGGAGTGGATATTATTACCTGTGCAAAGCCCAGCTCCATGAGCAGGGCCACCTTCCTTGACCTGCTTTACAAAAATAGTGTCCATAGGCTCGAGCCTGTTCCGCGGCCTCCCTGGTGAAAATACACAAAAACTAAATTTTAATACTCAAAACGGCAAATAAAAAAACTCCAAATATTTTCACGTAGAACAAAAAACTAAACAGCCACCAGTAAAAACATAAAACATCAAATAGTAAATGAGCCATGCTCCACAAAGCTATTTTTATTATAACGGACATGAATGAAGATGTTAAACCCTAGATATGAATTTCAAATTATTACAAGTGACCAATACTGCATTTTAAATTTGAGCCTCTGACAGCAAAAAATAAATAAATAACCAGCCAGTTAATAGAAAATAAAATAAAGTACATTTAATAAGAAGGAAGAATGTGTAAGCAGTGTATGTGTGTAAGGATGAGGAAGAAACTGGAGGGCATCTGGAAGCACATGAATGAATTCCTGATAATGTCTGCCCAGTTTTAAAAAACACACACGATCATTACAAAAAAAGTTACTAAGCTGTGTTGCTGTTGGGACATGGATAAGAATTACTTGGGACAGAAAACCTGTTTGCTCATTCTGCCCCATCTCCTAGAAGCTGCATGGTCACAGGAAAAAAAAAAAAAAAAGAGAGAGAGATGGAGTGAGAAAAAGAGGCTGAAGAGGAAGAGTGTCAAGAGTGCTCAGCTGCACGCCTCCCACTCTTTCCTTGTAAACTGAGAAATAGCTGTGGGCACAGCCAAAGAGTGGATAAAATACTTCCTCGGTAGTTAACATTCTGGTGGTGAGTCAGCGCACATTACCTCCCAAACTCGAGTACACGGGAAGTCGAGCATGTGATCACATGAGATGGTCTGTGATTGTACTCTACAGGCTGTTTAAAAACATGCAATCACTGTTTTCTATAACATAGGCTGAACAAAACTTTTAACAAGTTACATTTAGCACATGACAGCTGTTAAAATGTAAAAAAAAAAAAAAAGGACAGAGGATCAGAAAAGGCTTTTTATTGCAACTAACATTCATTTTCTCTTATTTTAACACAATGTGACTCACGCAGGACTCCAGGAGCACATTATGAGATTACATAAACAATAGTTTACTACAACAGCAGGATGGTCTGCGCCCTCTTGTGGAATACTGTAGAACTGCACCTTCACTTCCTCAAAGCTAAAAATACTGTGAGGGAACTAAGCTCATTCATAGAACAACACTTTAAAAAACTAGAGAGAGCTTTGTCCATGCAACTAAATCAAACCTGAACCCGTTCTCTTTGATGCCAATACATAAACGCAGAAAAAATGAATTTGACATGTATCGTTGATTAATACATTCCCACAAAATGTTTATAAATTTCTTAAAATGTCTGTTCCTGTAAAATAATGATGCAAATGACAGTCACCTGTGATGGATGTGATTTTATCTTTTAAGTAAACAAGTTTATAAGCAACAGAGCCAGTCTTGATTCTGGCGTGATGAAAGAAGAGCTCTGTCTTGTGAGTAACAGAGACTAATTACAATTAGACAACTGATTGTGGTGCGACAGTGTGGACGAGCCTGAACAGGAAACCTAAAGCCCAGATGTTTTCAGACAGATATCCAAACATGTACCCGTATTTAAATATTTGACCAAACAGCTGCAAAACAGTGTCTATGAGGTGAAGCTCTTCCCTTAACTCCAGAGTTCATATTCTTAATTTGAGTGCTCCAAAAGTCATTACTTGTTGCATAAAGATATTTATTTTATATACTTGCTTTATGGTCAATTAATTATCATTTTCATTCAGAAGGGGGAATTATCGAAGACATTTTCTGAATTAAATAAGTTAAAACAAAGAAAATATAGAATTTTGACTACACACGTGTCTCCTAACTCTTGTGGGTTTTATGTTTCTTTGCTGTAAAAACCTAATCCAGAATCCAGTGTGTGATGAAATCAGCGTAGGTTGGCCTTTTTCTCTTTAGTTTATGTGTGCTGCCTGTAGGGCCCATGTGTGCACAAAATGAAAATACTGCCAAGTATGCTTTAATATTCAATGGCTTACTTAAAGTGAAACCAGACAAAGTCAGCCCTGTATTCATTTAGGTAAAAATAACGTTTAAAAAGTACAGTCTTAGACTTTATTTCTCGGGACTTTCCAGCTTTTTTCACAAAGGGTGTAAAAAAGTTCACATAAGACACTATTTTAGAAAAAAAAAACATTCAGCATAAACAGGCTGTTACCAAATAATTATCTTCCAAAATACATATTATAAAAAACAGTTACGTTTCAGTACGTAAAATGAAAATAAAATTTGAAAGTTCACTGTTGTCATGAAGTAAATACTGAGACCGTTAAAGCAAAAATTGTGAGTTTGTACTTCTAATTGTTCACACACATCACATCCATCATTAGAGCTAAATAAAATACATGATACAACAAGATTTATTCACACCCTGGTTTATAAATAATCCTGAAGTGAGCCCTTCAGATTTTAGTGAGGTAAAATAAGTCACAAATCCAACTCTAAGTAACATTTTCCAGCTTCCTAAACAATGTGTCTCCACCCAACAGATCATTCTGCACTTTATTAACCTTGGAAAAGGAAAATAAAAACGTTTGTATTTCTTTTTAAATCAGATGCAAAGTTAATCTAACATGAGAAAGAAATGAAAGTAATGACTCTACTTAAATGCTTTTATTTTTCCCTTGTATAAATTTGAAAACTCCTATATTTTTCCGTTTGTTATAAAAGCATCACCACTGCTGAAAAACACACCGATAAAAAGGAAGTCAGAGCAACAGTTTCAACAATAAATCTTTTAAACAAACTAAATTAAACAACAAAGCAGCTAAATTGTGGCCCCCTTCTGCTCACTTTTATCTTGAACTAAAGACAATAAAAATGTAAATCTAATAATTGTTGGTATCTTTCTGACACATTTCACTTTAGAGTATGTTTTGCAGTAACAGTTAAATGGGATGTTCTCGGTGAAACTAAAACCAAGGCTTCTTGTGATTGTAAATACCTCCTTGATGTAAGCTCAAAGAAATATAGCAATACTTTCTGAAAGGATTGGCTTTTTTTGGAATTCACCCAAAGTGCAAAAACACAAACAGACTGAAGTTAAAAAAAAAACCTCCACAGACTAAAAGAACTGATTTAACTGTGATTATACTGGGATTTGTGAACTACTTAGGTCTCCTTGACAAAAAGCTAATAATAAAATTAAAAAAAAGATGAATTAGAAGCCTCAATAGGTACAAAATTGTTTTCTTTCCACAAAGAAAATGAGAAAAATCTTTAAATACATTAATTGGTTTCCACTTTACAACCTAACAGATTCAAGTCCTACAGAGTTCAGCTGTATAACAACTCTTGCTCAGGGTTTCAAATTCCCTACTATAACTCCACCCACTCTGTCATCATGTGACCAGAAGTCTAACCGAATGACCAATGAGGTACTATCGAGGACCATCCCCCAAGATAGACGTAAATTAATTTCTTCAGATTGTTCCTGTATCGTACCATATTTTGCGCTTCATGCACCTGTTCATTTGTTCAGCGTTAATGGAAAACGCACGGAGAATTCCGTATGACGCAGTTAAGTTAAAAGCGATCGATGAGCTGTCGAAGGAGGAAACAGCTGCCGCCAGTGAGCTTTGCATCAACGTATCGATGGTCGGGCATTGGAAACCAAAAGCAGTCAAGTCTGGTACATGTTTTAATAAACGTTTTAAAATTCTTTCTGTGCGACATCTTTCTGCATTGGTAAATATGCGTTTAAATACCAGGATCTCATTTTAAACTCACAGCTGAACACGGAGCGGAGAACAACAGGAGGGGTCTTCCCACTCCCATTTCCATCATGAGAGCTCAGCGAGCGGCGGAGAAATCATCAGATTTATTTTTAAAGCAGTCAGTCAGTCAGTCAAGCATAACACATATTTAAATAAAAGTTAAAAACAATATTTCTGTGTACGATAAATGTGTTTAAATACCACTATCTCATTTAAGTTCCGCACAGAACGGAGGAGCACTACAGGAGGGAGAGGCTGAGGAGAAATCCCATCAGTTATTTAAAAAGTACATTTAAAAACAGCAGCTGTTACCAATACTGTTTAACAATAAAAAAATCAATGGTACTAATTTAATGAATATTTACCGTATTTTACAAGTACTATTTGTCTTACGGTCACATGACCTCAATAAGACTTCTGGGTAATATTTACAAGTCACAAATTTAAACAATTTCAGTTTCGTAGGCATTTGGCACTGCTCTGTCCAGTGATTATGCTTAGATGGTTATTGTGTTCATTTTGTAGGTATAATGGCTGTAACCATGAGTCAGACAGCGAAGCTTCATGAAGACTTGTGACGATCTTGCAGTCTGAGCGTGTGTAATTAAGCAAGCTACATTCTGTGAAACGTCATCTGCTGGCTGATTATTGTACTACAACAAGAAAGCTGCACAGAGCTGGAACAGGCTGGGTGGGCACAGTTCCAGATGATGAACGTGGATGCTCGTAGCTAAATAACCGGAGCGTCTTATTTATGTACAAAATCATGATTGATCTTATATTTAGTACGTGCAGCTTAGAGACCGGTGCGTTCTGTAGTCCAAGAATTATGGTAAGTCTATTCCCTACATAACCAGTAATATAACAGCGAGAATAGTACCGCTAATGGCGCATACACCTGTCGACAATCTATTATACAGCCATCTATAGCAATGGCCCGGTCAAGCAAGGACCATGCATAATGTTTTACCTTGATTTGTGACCTCGACCTTAAAGGAAGGGTGATGAAAAGATTACACAACACGCTGTCTAACGATGGTACAAAAGTGTATCGACTTTGGTTAAATTATCTTGAGCAAATAAGAAGTTATGGCCTGGACAAGCAAAGACCTTATTTTAACTTTGACCTTAATTTGTTACCTTGACCTTGGAGCTGAGGTGACGCAAAGTGTAAGCAACACTCCGTTTAGTAATGATGCATATGTGCATGAAGTTAGGTTCACTTATCTTGAGCGGATCAGAAGGTACGGCCCGGTCAAAAGAAAGTTTACGGACGTACGGATGGAAGCAACACCATAATACGTCTTTCAACGGGCATATAATAAAAATTGCAAAGTATGTGATGAGTATACAAAACGTGTAAAAGACAGAATTTGTTTAAAAAAAAAAAACTTGTCAGAGAGTTTGTGTTAAAATCTCAAAAAGAGCCAAAGTGTGGATGGATTCTGAGTCATTGAAAGTCAGCAGCGCTGCTGAAAGAAGGAACATTTTGTTTTTCTGCTTACCTCTGCGGCCACAATCTTCTTCCTGTACAAACACAAAGATACTCAAATGAATGGGTTGCTTATGGTAAGATAATTTAATTATTATTTTTGGCGATTCCTGGTTGTAGTCTAACACAATGCTGAAATGTACCAGGAAGTAATGCGTGCTGGACTCCGGTGGGTACACGATGAAGTGCCGCAAGGTGAACCCAAACCCTTGTGATGTGCGACGTAAAAGCAAAGTTTTCGGCCTCGGCCACGAGAACGGCTCCTCCTCTGCTGGGTACAGGGCCGAAGAAAATTCAGCCAAACCTCGTCCCTCCGAAAAGTCATTCTGTCCAAACAAAAAGAAGAAAGAATGCATTCAAATAAAGAAACCACGACCATCTTTAAGCTTCAGAGTCGCAGAACTTTTGAATGAGAAAGACAACACAGCAGTCACACAAGATCCATGTACTGTTTTAAGATCAATAGATAACTTTTTTAACATTTTTTTTTAAGGAGAACACAAAGTGAAAGTGGGTTTAAGCACACAGGAGTCAGTCTAATATTCACAGCCAAGTCAGTGACCAGCTAGAGAAAAGCACATCAGGCTGGACACCCACTTGTTTGTTTACAGACTTCTCATGGCCTCACAGCTTTGTTGTATCATGTGTGCAGCAGCAACACCTTTACTCAAATTTCCCTGTATCATATTCCAGGCAGCAGTGCGATTCTCATGAACGTCAACGTTCAGCTGTTTAACGCAACACTAAAAAAAACTCCCATCTGGTCTCGGCCAGGCCCTCCCCCTCCCCCAGGAGAACAGACTTTTCCCCACAATGTGAGGAATTTGATGAGCTTGCATTAGCTGTATCTCCGCCCGTGCTGATACGTTGAGTAAAATGTCAAAACCACAAAATGTCTTGCATGCATGTTAGCACAACTCCTTGTGTAATGTAAGCAAATAATGTGCAAGATGTTTATCTGGTTTAAGGTTGCGTGCAAAAATTCTCACACTCTGTGACTTTATTCTGTGTGTGCCTGGAGGTCAGTACCAAGTTAAAGCACGTTTTCCCCTTACATCAAAACTCAGGAGGATTTTTGCTGCTTTGCAACCTCAAAGATCCAAACGACACAGATCCTTTGAGTTTATTAAAAGTGGTAACTTGAGCTGTCAAGTACCCAGTTCAAATGTGCAAACTGGAAAGAGGACAATAAATACACAGTATAGTGACTGGGAAAAAGAGCTACGGGTGCAGCTGACACCCATGTATTTTGATTAAACTGGCAAAACAAGTTTTACTATGCAAAGCCGAGCAAAAGTAGGCTATTCATCAACACCAGCACCTTCACATTTCAGTTTGTGCTCATCTGATTCTCATGTGCCTGCAAAATACCAAAAATTTTGAACTTTGTATAGTAGTGCTTCCAAAGATATGACTTTAAATCAAAATGTTTGCCTGCATTGATGCCTTCATGTCTCTGAAGCAAAACCATCCCACTCTGCTGAATCTGATTTAGCAGGCAGACGGGGGTAATTTCGAAGCCTCTGATCTTTAGATGTGGACAACAGAAGGGGGGTGTGGGCCTCCTCACAGACACATGCCTTGCAGTGTTAGCATTGCCACTCGCAGAGTTAATACTGTTGTGACATTCCAGGTCAATAAATTCCAGGCCCGGCGGTGCTCTCATGGTTTTCTTTTTTAAAATCAAATAAAAGGAGGCAACACCCAGAGAACAGAACAGACCGTCTGACAAGAGCTCAAAAGGATATTAACAGGAAGGAGAAAAGCCAAAAAAGGAGACTAAAAAGGAACGGTCACATCAAAACAAACTCATCGTCTTTCATACCCACAACTGAACGCCTCTCACCCATTTCTGAATCTCCAGAATGCCACTGGGTGAGGCAGCTGGGAGAAGATTTTCTAAGAGCATTTGTTCCTCGGCTGGAAGCCTCAGAAATGAAAAGTGACCAGGCCTGTGTCTCAAGTTAGGAGCACAGAATCAACAGATGGCAGCTCACAATAAAAACACCGCACAGTCAACACATTCGCTGTGACAACATTAAAAAATGCTGAACATTCATTACAGTGCACACAAGTTACCTGAAAGTTGTCAGTAAAATGTTAAACGGAGTATCCTGCTGCTGTAAATTTGAACTCAGCGTCCAAATATGCATCACTCGCCATCTACATTTAACCCCCCAAAAATAACAAGAAATTTTAAGAAAACAAGTATTTTTAAACCCATCTTTATGGTTTGAATTAATAAGGTTTGGGGGTACAATTTACAGACAAGATGTGAAGTTTTAAAGATTATTTAATAAGTTGTTTGAGCCTTTTTGGCAACTGAAGCAACAAATCTACACACAACCAGCACTGCACCTTATGTCTGATGCCTTTGTAAGATAAACCTTTTATTTGCATATCTATCTGAACTTTTTCCTCAAATGTTTACAAAAGCAAAATTGAATAAACTACGGCAACAAAATAAAACCCATTTAATCCAGCTAGATTTAACTAGTCTGCTGAGGTCTTTAAATATCTGCAATTTACCTTAGTGTTTATATGCAGATAATGGTTTTCAAAATGTAATACTCCGTCAATAATTAGTGCTTCAAGTTATTAATGTTAAACCCACAACCCGTGCAATCATTTTTATGAAAGATTTAAGGTGACGACATCACCGCAGAGGTTAGAGGAAAACCCAACCAAGCTCTTCTTAAGTTTAAGAGGAATTACTGAACACACACAGCTGTTTACACTCCGCACACGTCGACACCTAAATGCTGGGTTCACACTGACAAAGCAACTGGAATTTCCAGCTGGTCCATATTATTATTATTATAATATTTTTTTTTACAAGTTTTGAAAACCACAAACACAAAAACATCTGCTGATATCATCAAGTGACACACTACAAGCTTCACATGACATCAGCTCTGAGAAAACAAAATATAAAGGACACCATCCTAAAATGCAAGTAAACCTAACCTAGTTCTCTGTAGGCTGCTACATTTTGCACCACATCCCAGTTAAACCAAGCACCATGCTGTGAAAAGCCTACAATAATGATACACCTAACAGAGGGTCAGTGGTGAGGCCTGGTGTTCCAGCTTTGTACCTCCAGACAGGGTTAGGTTAGGAGTATCATTATTCAGTCTGCAGAATGTAGACACTTGGTGAGTGTCGTGCATGCCATACTTCTGTTTAACAAGCAGCTTGGAAAGAAAAATCCTTTACTTTTTTTTTTTTTTTTTTACTTTCTGGGACGTCTTTATCAAAATGATGAAAGTTTTGCTGCAGTCCATGCGACACATTCTACAGAGCTTGAGCACAACATTATCAAACATTTGCACATCATTTCACAAAATCCTACAAATGATCTCAACTTATAACGCTTGAATTTTGAACATTATTATTTAATGACGTTAATTCAAAGCTAGACGCAGCTTTTTGTAGAACGTACAGTCAAATCAACTTCAGTCCTAATGCTGGTGAATACGAGATCCTGCTGCTGCTGCAGCATCACAGCGTACAAATAAAACAGAAAAGTGTTTGCCAACAACTGATTGAATAAAACAATTGCCAAATATTTAAGTGGATTTTCTCTCTGTGGCAACCCCTGAAGTAGAAAGAAAACCCCAGAACTACAGTTCTGTCACAAGCAACTACTTTTATTAATCATAAGTTAAACAAGAAATGTGCTTTTTGTTGCTTGTGTTCTGCTGGTGTTGCAGCAACATGACAGAGCTGCTGCTTCATATTGTGTCAACAGTGAAAAACATATTTCTTACTAAACTGGAATCTTCATCACTCGTTGTATCCCATAAAAGGCAGACTACTGTAGGATTCAATGAGCACAGAAATGCCTGCATATTGTGACGCAAACTAAAATATCAGGCCGATAGAATCAGTGACATTGTATTAACCATGATAAAAACCAACAAATTGTCATTTACTAAAATAAAATTAGTGAATAAACCGACAATGCCATGCTACATCAGTTACACAAAGTACGGAAATACTATTATTCTGTCTACAGTAGTGGGATGAAATTACTGCCGTCCTTGGTTCCTGGTTAGGCTCGAGTCAAAAACGTAGCTGTTCATTTCTCTTACAAAGCTTGACAAAAACTCTACACTCAACATGAATATTTTACCAACATACTGTAAATAAATAAGCTTCACATGAAAGACAAGTTCCTGTTTATAGATGTCTGACCAACTACACACAAACTATGGTTTTCGACTTAAACATTGTTCAACAATCAACCACTTTTGCTTTGTAAGAATCAGACTTGGCTGTTTGAACAGAAAATCACCATCAGCTCGTTTTAATTTGTCACAAATGACTCGCGTTCCTCTATGACTTATTTAAACAAGAAGAAAAACGTCACTGGCATGTGTTTCACTTCAAAGCGCTGACACAAGGAAGAAAGACTGAATCACACAGGCTGTGTTTTTCTCCAGAGACACGGCCATAATACGACAGGAAGTTGCAGACGACTTCTATCCAATTGAAAGTCAATTTTCCCTTCCGTTTGCCATCAGTTAGCCATACAACGTCTGCGCGGAGGGTTCTGTAAAAGGCAGCCATGCTAAATGAGATAAACAATGAGCTTTAATGAAGCCAAGATTGTAGGGAGAAGAAGGAGAGAAGGGTCAAAGCCCTCCTACGGCTCTAAAAATAGCCTTCTAATTTAAAATAATTGATTTTGCTTCATACTCATTTCTTTGATATGAGGAATGAAAAGCAAGTAAGATAAATCATGATGATACAACTAAACACAAAAAACTCAACAAAACCCTAAACTAAAAATCCCTGTGCCTTTATACTCGATATCTGACTGGAGGAGTCCGAGTTGAAGGAAGACTTTGTGTCATCTGGGTTCAGCTGCGATGTTTAAATACCATGCACTGTTCAGCTGATAAAGCGGACAGACCCTCCAGTGTTAATGGAAAAAATAAAGAATGCCATCAGTAAGGTTCAAAACGCATTTGTCAATTCTCATTTATTATATTTATTTTTTTATTTAAGAGCTTGCCAGCACAATACATAAACACCAAGTACTTTCAAACGGTCACACAGGTTGTGAAAAGGTCATCATGGTGACTGGTATGATATTTTAAGCATGGGGAAATAATAGAGGTTTAGATGTCTTTGTGATAAATCATATAATGTAGTTGTGACTTTTTTATAATCTCCTTTATATTAATCTTGACGGAGTTAAAGGCTGAGAATTACAAACCGAGCTCGTCTTTGTCTGAAACAGCATCTCACCTCCGCTACTTGTCAGAGTCAGTCAGAGTCAGAGTTTCTTTATTGTCATTCGCACCTCATGTGGTACATGTGGTGGAGTGAAATTATGTACACAGGGTCCCAGTTACATCCAACAATAAAATGTATAAGAAAAACAGTAATAACATCTAAGATGTGAACTAAGAAAAACATCAACTAAATATACACTAAGCACTCATAACATAAAACATTGAACATCACCACAAACATGAACATGAGTCTGTGAGCAGATGTGCACGCATGAACACATCAACATTGAAACAGATCAGCAGCAACATGAAACAGATCAGCAGCAACATGATATGGTTTTTCACAGTGATTATTCTAGTTAGAGATTCATGAGTCTAACAGCCTCAGGGTAGAAGCTGTTCCTCAGTCTAGTGGTTCTACACTTAATGCTCCTTAACCTCCTTCCTGAGGGGAGTGGGGCAAAAAGTGTGTGTGCTGGGTGGGTGGGGTCCTTCATGATGCAGGTGGCCCTCTTCCTGCATTGTTTACACCAGAGGCAAAAACAAGCTCTGTGGAAAAAACCTAAACATGTCTGAACATAAGTGATGTCAATTAAAAGAGGCTCTGACTTCAAAATGAAGACCCACTTAGGAAAACTCTTGAATTCATTAAGTCTATAATTCATCATGGAAAAAACATTATACCAGAGACTCCTGGGCTGTTCCAAAACTTCTCAGACTTTACATGTGATTTGGTTTGTGTGGTAGTTTGATTAGAGGAACAGCAAAAAGGAGGATTTCCCACATTACTGAAGCTTCACCTTCGTGCTAGCAGAAGTAAATCAACAGGTACATTACTTTTTGTGTTATGGGACAAATGGTCTGAATAAGTGTGTGATAAAGTCTTGTCCTAACTCTATAAGTCTGTCAGTTACAAATATATCTCATGAAACACCGGATACATTTGGAGAAAGTAATTATTGGATGAACATCTATGTACAAATGATTATCTTTTGTAGTCAACCTGATTCGAGAAGGCAGTCACAGTCAATTGCCCCTAATAACACAAAAATGACTATAAGTCAGTCCATTTCACATGAAATTGAGCTCAAATTTGACTTGATAGTAGATGATAGTCATCCCCAACGTGTACTCGGAGGGTGACATCTTGCAATATTGTGTGGCGTTTTCAAGGTTTGACTAAAACAGCTTTAACTCAATCAAGGTGAGATGAGCTTAGTTTAATATGCTGACATAGAAGGCAGTGGGCGGTGTGCATTCCTTCAAGGAGTACTTGGATTTTAATTTCAATATAATGAAATTATGACGCCCAGTTTTGGGATCTGGAAAAGTTTCTTTGCATCAGTATTTCTAATACCAAGATGCAATCATTTCAGTACAGGCTAAAATGTACCTACATGGTTGATACAAAAGAGATAACATCAGAGTCTGTTTGAACAGCTCAACTCAACTAAATGAGCTCCAAAAATGTATGCTGACTGCTTAGACCACCAACTGGGGCATCAAGTATAACATAAAGACCTTCCTTTTGGTGACACACTTTTAGAGGAGCAGATGGTCTGTCCATGTCTGGTATAACAAAGGTAAAACCTTAACAAAGTGCTTCAGTGTCGTCTTGTCATTTTTCTACAGCAACTTAAATTAAACTTTTAATTCCATTTCTATGCTGCAAACAAGACATTCTTTCGTATATTGACTTACAAAGACAAATCCTTGCTTTTACAAGAGAAAATAAGAGGTGTGTAGAAATCTGATATATTGTTGAGAATAACAGAAAAAAATTACATCTGACAGGAGATGTTATAAAACTCAAATGCCTGGACCAAAGTGTCAAGGAAAAATCTCCCCCCACAAAATCACACCCGAGAAGTGGAGACAGTGAAAAATACAAATTCACTTGCGAAAACACTTGCCCTCTCATTCCTTCTTTCAAACACTACATTAATCCAGTCTCATTGGAATTGTTATTATTGGTGCATTTACCTCACAGAAAGAGTTTCTAGCCTGTTGCCTCTCATCATCTTCACAGGAGTGAACCCAACGCGATGCCATCATTCAACTTTGATGAAAATCCTCTCGTCTGTGAACGCCCACATTGAAAAAGCTAGCTCCAGCAAGATGCACAAAAATATCCTCCAATTTGATTTACACCTCTAGTTTTGCTGGATGTCTTAGTCCATCTGTAAGAGAGATATCACATTGTTAAGTATTAATTTTAGCTTCAATAAAAGGCTGATTTGTGATTCCAGGACATCCAACACAGTTAAATGAAAACTCGTTTGTTCAGAATAGTATGGTCAATTCTGGACAATAAGCATTTTTTTAAACGTTTTTCGTCTTAATTGTATTTTTTTAACAAAGTTTCCCTTTCAGATGAAAGGAAATGTTAACGTCGTTATGCAAAAGTTGTGGTAGTGTTTGAAAAAACTAATTAACAAGGTGGCCAAGCCACAAGTGAGGACAACGTGTAATCAACAGGATTAGAAATTCCCATTATACACAAAAACACACAACTTACTATAAATACACCAGACCTTTAGAAAACTCTGCTTCAAGTTTATAATTACATGTTAGTGGTTTTATATTTTCAAACAAGAAAATACGAGACATAAAAATTAGAAATGCATGTGAAGACATTTTAAGTCGTTTTGCTGTTGTAGACTTGTAAATGTAATTAAAGTATTTTAGTGTATATTGCTGTTTTTGTTTACAAATAAATAAGCTGAGCAGTTCAGTGACTGAGGTAAATATATGTGGCATTCAAGTCCCATAGTTTTTGTAATAGTATTTTATTTACACAGTATTTGCTGGATGTACATAATGCATTGCTGATTCTAGGTATAAATACAAAACAGAGTAGTCAAACGTCATATTTAATGGCTGCACCTAGTTTTAATGAACTCTTTATAGAGGTTTCTCAAACACATTAAAGTTTGATCAGATTTTAATAAACAAGTAGATGACGTTACTATTACAAAACTTTGCCATGTGATGAGTATTTAGTTACTAACCTCGTCTGAAGAGTAATTTAACCCAGCCCTTCCATACAGGATTAGTATTGACTCGGGTTTGAAAGTCTGACATGAGAAACAAAGACTTGTTATGATTATGGTGGACCCTCAGCTCCGCGTATGAATGGCTAGCAACAAGTGGACTACGAGAAAGGAGGAAAAACGCTCCATGTTTTTAAAGTTACATTACAAAAACGTAAGAGAATCAGCGTTTACTAACATTAAGGCGTTTCGTTGTGTTGTACCGTCTTGTTCAAATTAATAAACAAAACATATAGACTTAGGTTGAATTTTGTGATCGATGATGAGACGAACACACAGCGTGCCAGTCGATAACAAACAAAGCTTTTGCTTTAGTTGCTGTAGCTGTAGGCTGGATACCATTACGAAAAAGTCTGAAAGTCCACATAAAACCCCGTAGCTTAGCTTTGAGCTATGTATACGGTTAAAGTGACTTTAACCTGGCAAAAACGACAAGCAAAGTATCTCCGCCAAAGAGCTGCTACAGGTTAGCATCCATGCTAACGGCTGGAGTTTTAACAAAGTTACCTGTGTAGTTCAGGAGCACCTCTACAGTCGGACAAAAGCGGCGGTGGTTGTCCAAAAACGCGAACAAGCGAAGTTAAAAACATTCCTTTTTGGTTGGTGTGATCATGGTTTCCTTAAATTTACGTACAAACGACTCCCCCGTGATTATTCCAAATGGACTCAGTCAGCCGAGGCGCATGGTGCATTTTTTTTCTCTCTCTTCCAGCTTTCCCGAGTCTCAAGGGAGTCCACCTTCGGTCAATAGGACACTCTCGACCAATCAGAAGCCGCGTTGCATTTAAGCGAACCAATCAGACGTAAGGTGACAAAAATTCACAGCCGCTCTTCTGAAAGTTTGTTTTTAACCGTTCCTCAGCAAAGCAGTGGAGTGGGCGCATTAGACAATAATAATCCCTGAAAGGATTAAGTTATCACGCACACTCTGAAAAGTCTACACTGTAGTTGTGTCTTTTAACCGCAAACCACTGGGGTTTGTACACACAAGGGTGAAGGAGAAGTCACATGTTGTGGTTCAGAATGAGGTCGAGTTCGGCAAATACATGACTGGACGTGGAACATCACACTGAATTGTATCTTGTTTTTCTCATAGTAGTGCTACTATCTCCAGTTAAAATAAAATAAAAATAAAAACTTTTTTTAATTGCATATATTTAAAAGGAGACTGCTGGCTATAATCAGGGCTCAGATTTTCAGGGCTCAGACAAATGCCTCCTTTATGCCTCTCCAACATAAGGGGCCACCTGTTCTTGGATTTAGTAGCTTTTGTTGCAGAGGTCAGACTTTCACAAGGCTGGCTTGTCCAGCCTGTTCTACTTTCAGTTTGAAAATAAGCTCTGAAAAGAAAAAAAAACTGTCAGGAAACTGAACATTTCTTTTAACTATCAACACAACTTAAATTTTAGTTGTCAATACATTGTCTTCTAAATCAATCCAATAAAATATTTTTGCATCCCCTTTGTGTGAAACTGTACTTCTAACAGTGTTAGTGCTTTTATTGCTTCAATTGTACAATCAAATTTCTCCACCAGCTAAAATCAAATGGTGGGCCGTGGCCCAGATCCAAATACAGTAATGTACATCTTATTTGGTTATATTTCAGTAAAAAAAAGTTAGATATTTACTTAGACACATTTTTCTGCATTTGCAGTATCATTTTTAGATGGCACAGCTTTTCTGTAGTGCAGTTTATTTAAGGCAGCAAAGACTTTCCTGCATTTGTCATATTTTAGACATCTTATTCTGCATTTACGGTCATTTGTTTAGCACAGTTTTACTAGCATTTATGGGGAATTCCCACTTCTGACTGGTTTCTGTTTGTGGCAGTGTTGCCAGATAAACAATTTTATTTATACTGTAATTTAAGGGTTCATGTAATATACTATAAATAGTTTTTCCAAATCACAAATATAGAGAAGTTTTAGCATTTCCGTTCACACAAAAAATGTTTGGCAGATAAAATAAATCACATCCTTAATTAGCAGATACAATGGTTTGGGTCAAAATGCCATCATTTCCTGACAATCCTGCTCTGCAGAAAGCTGCCAGCCCACTGAGAGGTACTGGACTTAAATGACAATATGGTGGGTGGAGGAAACTAGCAGGACTTTCCACTGAAAGATAATTTAAATATTAACTCTGGACCAATGCTAGAGGGAAAACTGTAATCCCTAAAAGACCTTTAAAACAAAGACAACCTCATTTTCATTGTGTCGGGTATAAGCACTCAACACAGCAGCTAAACACGCTCTTATTAATTCACCTGCAGGTGACCGTTTTTTTTATTTTTTTTTATCAAATAGTTGTTACACGTTGTGGCTTTAGTAAAAAATAAAAACTGCAATCAAATTAATGCAAGCATGTAAAGATTGTGTAGAAAGTATTTTTAGCTCCCTTCAAAATAAAACTAGCGAATGTTAAACAAAAATAAAGGTCTTTCTGTTCTGTGAGGGTCACCAAAATCACAAGGGTCATTCAGATTTTTGTGGCACATATATAAAAAAACCCCACTAAATTCTTCAAAAATATTTTATTAAATCTAAAACTGTAAAAACATTTTTTTTTTAAGAAACAAGCATCCCATATCAAAAACGGAGAAGAGGTAGTCAATCCATATGACATTGAGAACACTATCATTTTCCCCTAAACCTAAGATGTGACAGAAGAGTTCCCAAACAAACTTAAAAATAACAGAAAATGTAACAGTAACATTATTTTATCCTATAGAAATCCCACTCCTATGTTTCAGATTTGACAACTAACCCAGTAAATAAACCATGATTATCAAGCTCCTAATACTGACTAAAAAACAGCACAACAGAGAAGGTAATAACAGAGAAGGTCTTAGTAACAGAGTCACATTTACAAAATGAACACTGTGGTGGTAAACAAGCGAGTCAGTTGTCTTATCTTGAAAATTTTCCCATTTTGCTGACATTATCAGATAAATGTGGTATGTTCAATTGCCAAACAAACATGCTTGAAAGAAGAAACCTTACAAGTATGTTTGAGATAAGATGTTATCAGAGCAAAGATGTGGGAATAGCATCTCCAGGGAAATGTCTGGGCTTGCAGTAAGTCATGTCATGCATGACGGTCCCTTTTGTTCCTTTAAACTTTATATTTCTTCTTCCCGCTGTCGTTAATCACGCATATGTGCTGAAAGGCAAAAAAAAGACCCAGTCAAAAGATCTTCTAAACAAAGTCATCGTTGCTCTAAATCAGGGGTGTCAAATTCACTTACAAAAGGGGGCCAAAATTAAAAACTTGGCTCAAACTAATAGCCAATTTCAAAAACTACCTTAATTCAAGTCAGATACCCGACATCTTTTCTTGGCCACATGTCAACAAGAGTTTGAGTTTGATTGGCCTCGTTTGACGTTCTCTGTTGCACTTTCCACATCATAATCAAAGATTACTAAAATAATTCAAGTGATAAAAGTATTTTATGTTTAACATAGCATCTTGGGGGCCAGAGAAAATGTCAACTAGAGGCACATTTGGTCCCTAGACTTTGAGTTTGACACATGTGCTCTAAATGGAGTAGATGCTGACTTACATTAAGGTCTCTAAAATACTCGTTGTAGTCCAAGGCGTATCCGACCACAAAACGGTTGGGTATCTCAAAGCCGACATCTGTAAAAGATAAATATAACCTGTAAATGTTTTCCATTGTTCAACCACTCACTCAAACCCATGTTCTAAACCAGGGGCGCCCAATACGCAGATCACAATCTACAGGTCGATCGCAAAGGTATTATGGGTAGATCACATGGCATTAAAAAAAAAAATAGACGTTAGTCTATCATCCATCCTTACTATGAAATTTGTCACTTGACTGACAGACAGGACAGCCAGCTGAGGCCCCGTTTACACGACGTGAAACGTTTGGCCGTTCATTTTCAGACAACAGCCCTCATTCTCCCAGAGACCGAAGGTTTCTGAATCCAGGTCTCAAAGTGGAGATTTTCGGGGGAAACCCCTGACGGAGTTGTGAAGTGCTCCGCAAGTGTGAAGTCGCACATGTGCGCGACAGGTGGCTGCAGTCCAAAGTGTTTCTGCACTAACAACAGTTATAATAAATGGCAGAAAACAGAGTGTTTTGGTGCTACTCCCCCTTTTTCATCATCTAGGAGTGAAACTAATAAAATCCAGGGTCCAAAGATATGTTAGTGTATTCACCTGTTCAGGTGTAACTGTGATCATGCAGACCCTGCATGCACAATGAATACAGCTGAGCCCAGCATCAGGGTTGCCAGATAAAATTGAAAATGTCTTATTTACCTCCTCCTTTTCTGTGCACATGTTCAACAAACACAACACACACTTCATCTTAGAATATCTTTACTCATCATTTATGACAGTTTAGGTCAAAATACTATCATTTTAAAGCGACAGTACATAATTTTTTATCTGGCAACCCGCCTGACATGGAAACTACAGCGTTTTTGTGTAAACCCAGTCATTTTTTGTTTATTACCCCCAATAAACATTGGAAAAAACACTAATGTTTCCAGAGGTAGTTCTTGTGTAACCAGGGCCTTATAGTAGGTAGATCACTTTGACTTGGTCATTTTAAAAGGAGCTCGCATGCTGAAAAAGTGTGAGCGCCCCTGATCTAAACCGATTCCTAAATGTGGTTAGTCATATACTTACAGTCAGGGACACAAGTTGATCTATTATTTACTCTCTTCACCAGTAATCTGGGAACAAAAACATTTTTATTAGCAGCATCAGTTTCCTAATCATCTGTTACAACAACAACAGGCAGCATTGTTTGAGAAAATCTGCATCACCTGTTCAAGTCTTCAGTTTTGATTTATGTTTTAGTCTAGACGGTGCAAAGTGAATGACTAACGAGGCACGCCAACAGGGCTGGGTGTAGTTTGATAGTTTGACTTCCTTACCCCGCAACTTTGATCATTTTGGGTCTGAAGGCTTCAACATGCTTCAGGAGAGTTTTCATTGTCTTTCCTGTGCCCACAATGCCCTGGGGTGTGTGGTGGGGGGGGTGGGGGGGGGGGGGGTGTGTAACAGAAAAACTGGGATTAGTATGCTGATGAAAGATAAAGTGAAAATACAGATTAAAAAAAAGTTTCACATCATAATGAAAAACAAGTAAAAAAGCAGAAGATCCCTCACTGTCACACAGCACTTATATTACGCAACAGGTAATGATAATTTCTTAAATGACTTCCCAGAAAGCATGTGATAATTTACACAAAACCTCTTGCACTATTGCAAATAGAAAATAAAAATTAAATAAAAATAAAAAGGAGCCACCTACTGGTGTTTGATTAATTAATTATATTCAATGTTTTACATAATTAAGTCTACCGGTATACCATCTAGGTGTGTCTTAATCAGTGTTACACAAAAATACTTTTAAAGACAATCAAAACAGTCAATTCACTTTTCTGAGCCAAGCGTTCAGATTTACAGATTCTTCTGCAGATAAAGGACATCCATCATCCAACTACAGACAAATTATTATCTAAATCAATTTTTAAATTATAAGTACATCAAAATATTTATAAAGTCAAGAGTTGGATGCACAGTTTGCAACAAGGCCTCTCATTCAAACCATAAGATTTTACACTATATATATATATATATATATAT